CCCCAAAACCCCAAAACCCCAAAACCCCACACAGTAAGTTTATAGGAATAAATGATAATTTTCAAAATATTTTAAGCAATATCCTAACTAATTAATAGCTGCATTTGCTAAATTTTTAATATTTATTTTAATTACCAAACTCTTTAAAATCTTAACATAGATAAAATGGGAAATTAGATACCAGAAATGTAGAGGTATGGAGCATTTAGAGAAGATCAAACAGATGTCAAGCCTGGCTATTCCAGGGAACTTATGTAAGATATTGATTTTTAAACATGTTAAAGTTGCATTGAGAACCTTTAAAACCCAGATCATTTCAGAGCAGGAGAATTTGAGGGTTGCAAGACAGTATTTGAGGTATAGAGCAAGAGCTTGGATAAATTCGGAAGCAATCCTTTCTTGGGTACTCGTAACAATGCAAAGGAAGGCAGACCATATGAGTGGAAAACATTTAGAGAAATTTACAATTTAATGGAGGATTTCGCTAAAGGTAAAAATATAATGTCGTTATCATAATGACTTTTAGGTATGGATTCGCTCAATTTGAGTCCTGTTTAAGAAGCTGAGGGCAAAAACTATAGATTTATGGGTATATTCTCTAAGAATAGAGAGGAGTGGGCAATTGTGAACTTGGCCTCTATGAGATCCTCAGTTACTATTGTTCCATTTTATGACAGTCTTGGTCCTGAAGCATTATCCTTTGTCTTGAATCAAACTGAACTCATTACCATGTGTGTTGATTCAGCTAGCTTAAGAACATTACTTAAAGTTGCAGGAAATGCTCATACCTTGAAGAACATTATAACATTTGATAAAGCAGATGAAGATCAAGAAAAATAGACAAAAGAGCTAGGCATAAGGATGATCAGTTTCAATGACGTCCTTGAAGAGGGAAGGAAAGTATAAAATGCTAAATTTACTGAGCCTACGCCAGATACAATATATATGTTTTGCTATACCTCTGGAACTACAGGTGACCCTAAGGGAGCTAAATTAAGTCATCGCTATCTGCTAGGTTGCTCATAATACTGCCTGTATGCTAGAGCTGGACTGTGTGAGTAAGATGTCTCAATCTCTTATTTACCATATGCTCATATCTTTGAGCAGGCAATTTTCGTTACATCTCTTGGCTTCGGTTTTAGACATGGGTACTATTCAGGAGATCCTCTTAAGTTATTTGAGGACATAGCACTACTAAAGCCCACCTCTCTAGTTGTAGTTCCTAGAATAATGAACAGAATTTATGACAAGATAATGGCTGGAGTAGCAAACTCATCAGGGTTCAAACAAGGTTTATTCAATAGAGCAGTGGCTACAAAACTTGAAAATCTAAGAAACAATTGCCAATTTACTCATTGGCTGTATGATAGAACTGTTTTCAAGCCAATAAGAGACTTATTCGGTGGAAATCTTAATAAGATGATAATAGGATCTGCTCCAATAAGTAATGAGGTACTCAGTTTCTTCAAGATTGCCCTAGGTTTCCATATTCATGAGATTTACGGTCAAACTGAAGCTGGTCCTTTAACAGTTACTCTTAGCTTCGACCCAACTTCAGGGCACGTAGGAGGGGTGTCAGCAACTTGTAAACTGAGGTTAAGAGATATTCCTGAGATGGAATATTATCACACTGATAATCCACCAAGAGGTGAAGTACAAATGAAAGGTTCACATATGTTTGATGGTTACTTCAAAGCCCCTGAAAAAACTTTAGATACTATGGACGATGGATGGATAACAACTGGAGATGTTGGGATTGTATTCCCAAATGGCTCTATCAAATTAGTTGATAGAGCTAAAAATATTTTCAAGCTAAATCAAGGAGAATACATCGCTCCAGAAAAACTTGAAAATGTCTATTGCTAATGCTCCTTAATCTCCTAAATGTTCGTTTATGGGGACTCTCTCTAATCATTCTTATTGGGATTTGTTGTTATAGATCAAGATGTTGTTAAGAAGTGGGCTTAAGATAGAAACATTGCTTTTGATGATATTAACGTTCTTGCTAAGAACTAAGAACTGAAGTAAGCTATTATAGAGCAAATGGAATTGAAAGCTAAGGCAAATTCATTGAGTAGTCTTGAAAAGATCAAGAAGATACACGTATAAGCAGACCCTTTCACAGTTTAAAATGACATTATCACTCCAACATTCAAGATTAAGAGAAACATAGCAAAGAAATATTTCGATAAGGAAATTACTAAGATGTATCAAGAAGGGCTTTGATCAATAGAAATAATTATCATAGCTCTTGCTTTTAAATCTTACAACTAAAAATTAAGCATATTGCCATTCTAATCTAAGCATATATCTCAATGGGGTTTTGGGGTTTTGGGG